TAAAGCCTAAATATTCAGAAGTTACTCCAAGCCTTCAGTAAGCATTGAATCAGAAACCCTAATTGAACTTGTTAGGCTCTCAGCCATTCTTTTCACGTAAGAATCAAAAAAAAAAAAAAAAAAAAAAAAAAAAAAAAAAAAAAAAAAAAAAAAAAAATAAAATAAAAAAAAAATCTTAATTTTTACGATCAAAACTGCATCCGTCTGGCTGAGACTCGGGCAAAAAACATGATCTTAGCTGAGATGAAAAACAGGAACGTTCTGTAGAGTCAGGATTTTCTGAATGGACCTTAATCAGTAAAAACAGATCTGTTTGTTTAGAGGTGAATGTTTTTGTTTTAGAGCCAGTGATCATTTACTGATGTTTTAGTTCACACTAGCATGTGTATTCATGCTTTTTAAGCAATGGACATACGTAACACCACGCAGGTGAACTTTGCTTTGGGTGCATTTATTTGTCTGCAGGACCATGAAGAGTGCCAGATAAACATTGCCCTGCCTCTTAAGACTTGGCTTGCTGGATTTAATAGGACAGATTGGTCAAATATGCATGGACAATCGGGATTTCTTTGCTTGCTTTGAATCCACGTGCGGGAGGAGCCTTTGAAATTGCCAAGATTTGCCCTGCAGCAGAGCAAAGAATTTCAAAGGCTCTTATCAGGACTGGGATGCCTTTAAGTGACACAAAACTTTAGGCTTTTAAGGGAGGGCTATCACAAAGGTTCTGCTGAAGACAGCCCAGGCCATTCAGAAAAATGTGTTATTAAATTATTGATTTCTGAACAGGTTGGGAAATTGCCACCAGCAAAAACGGCCCATGGCTGCTTTTCCTCTCTCCCTGTGCTTCACTTGTCTGCTGATGGGCACAAAAGAAAGGCACCTTCCTCTTCCACATCTGTGAGGGTGATCTAGTCCCAGCTCTTACACTGGCTGTGGAACAGTCTCGAATCTTTTGCAGTTTTACTTGCTGCCTCTCACTTTCAGTGAAACGATTTTGTTTAAAAATCACCTGGTTTAATCTGCACGAAAGCAGTTCAGGAATACACTTCCAGCCTTTTCTTAAGCTCAGCACAGGCAAGTTTGCATCAGGCTCTGCAGTAAAACTGTGAAACCTGCTGCCTGCTGCCCGGCGAGACAAGTTGGGTTAGAAGTTTATAGATGGAATTTTTCAAGACTTCCTTTGGCAATCAAGAAGATTCTTTGGTGTTGCTAAGCTGTTTATCAGTAAAGCTCCTTGGCCTTCCCCTCAGGACTGCCCCCCTCTTGGCTGCATAGCAAATATTGCTTGAGGTGCTTTACTACTTAAGTAAAGGAATAATAAGGTGATGATGTTTTATAGAGCCTTTTAAAAAGACAAGATTTAAACTTTAATCCAGTAATGATACGCAACAACCCAAGTTGATGGATTCCCCCCCCCTTTGTTGTCCTAAATAAAATTTCCATTAACAAAATAAATTAACACAGACCTATACTCTTCTCACTGAACTGAAATATCTGTGGCTGAAGTCGGTTGAGGGGCTTGCCTGCCTGGGTCTTGCCAGCAAAGGAATGCAGTAAAGTACCAGCGACTGCAGGATCTGGATGAGTGTTTCTTCTCTCTCTTCTCTGCTAGTCAGGTCCTGGTGGATGTTCAACACTTTAATCTACCCCTGTGCAGTATTTGCAGTATTGCAGTTAAATTAGCTGACTGGCACTGATTCTCATAATCCGTTTGGGAATTTAGGTTCATGGGGCAAGTAAAATTTTGGTGTTATGACCGCCTATTTACAGATTGCTGTGGGCATCTTTGGTGTCTACGTGCTCCTGAAAAGTGGAAGGAAGTTAAGTACTTTCCAGTAAAAATTCTGTGAAAAATATAAGCTTCCTCCCAACGATTGCTTTATTGACCTTGGAGGATAAGTAATCACTTTATTCCCGAGGACAGTTCAAAAAAAGAATGAAACAATGGCCATTAGTAAGAGCTGCTGATGCCAGAAATTAACATCCTAACGTGGTTATTTGTTTGTGCTGCAGTGCAGTCCTCTGTGGCACCTACACAGCAGTCTCTGATGGGGTTTTGGCATTAACAACATTTACATTTTCTCTTCTGTATGTAAAGCTTTGATGGCATCTGAATTAGAGTTTGCATTCAGCATTCTTCATAAACCCTCCTTGTGGTCAGCTCCCATAAAATAGCATGGAAATGTTGGATGTGATTTTCATAATTATTCTATATGATAAAAACAGAAGTCTAAAAGCAGTTTGTGTTTTAAATAGTTAAGTCCAAACTCACCATGGAAAAATTCTGAAACCCTGAACTTTAGAGGAAACAAACCCTCTGTATTTTTCTTTCGTCTCTATGTGATGGACGTGCAAATATTTTTTTATTATTATCAACACATATCTGTTTCAATCTTTGGATCCTATGATACTTTTGTTTTAGAATTTCCAAAACAAGATGGCAACATTTTGTAGCCCATTCTGAATCATAAGAATATACTTTTTCACTATGTCCTTGTCTACTGGCTTCAATATGTAGACAAGTTAAATGTAGTCACAAGTTAAACATAGATCATCCGTAAAAACTTATTACAGTTTTAGTGCCAAATAATGGGGTTTTTCTAGATTTATAGTGGTATAATTAAGTACAGACTCTTCCAGGAAGCTTTTCCTGGACTAGTACTGAGGCCTGGGAACAGCTATTTTTCTGCAATTTCTGAAGTCTGATACCTTTGATGGCAACACTTGATTGCTCAAATTTGGCTTAGTAGTCTTCCCAGTGCTTTCCAGGCATACAGTGCACGTGATCAGTTTGGCTGTGAAAAGCATAAAATGACACAGAGAAATGGTAATCTGTAGTTCTAGGGTTCAGTAAGAGTTGCTAAATCGTTTGGCATGAGCACATGTGTGTGCAATCCTAACTTTCTGCGTGACTGCGAGAAACAAAATTTAGGAGAATAAGCGTATTTGGATTTGGCTTGCTATCACTACCTTGCTTTCTAAAACACCTCTTTCTGTGTGAAGACCTAGAATTGGGAGTCAAAAAAAAAAAAAAAAAAAAAAAAAAGAGAGAAGGAAATGGATTAATTTACGATGTAATTGCTTAGTTGAGAATAATTCATTCATTCTCTTCGTTCCCAATAACTGAGGACAGTGAAATACCCTAAAGGTGCAAATCCTTCCATCTCTCTGCTGAAGCTGCCAGTACAGAATGTGCTCCCAGGATGCAAACATTTACCCACACACTTCAGCCTATGCTTGAGTTGCACTGAAGGCACAAGATAAAAGGCTTTGCTTACGTGTTTCACACGGCTTGGGAGACCCTCAAGCTTGAAGCCCTCTCTCCACTCGCCTGAGGTGTGCTCAGAACACTGTGCAGCTAAATCCAATTACAGGAAGGCACACAGACACTCCAGCATGGAGCGGGTTCTTAAAGTGATTTCTGCAGATGGATGGACTTGGAGAAACATCCTATCGCTTCGGGGAGGGCCCCACACACGCTGCAAGACAATTTTAAGCAGCTAGATTTCGAGAACGACCTGATGGAAATGGAATTCATTGTCGTCTGTCAGACAGTGTATTCGGCCCCATCACAGCACTAGGCACTTGAATCGAAAGTTTTGCTGTGTGGGATGAAGTTATTAAAGATAAATCAACAGGATGCACTCGGATCATACTTGGCAATAAGGATTCACTTGGCTGCCTCAGCATCTGTGCTGGCTGCAGAAGCTACCCAAGTATCAGCGTGAGCAGGAAAGTGCTTACAACTCTATCTTTCTTGCTTCTCTGCCTAAGGTTATCTGTTTTGACCCTTCCAAGCTGTCATGCTGTGCTCAGTCTGCTTGTTTTCATGTTCACAGTGGAACATCCTTCTCTCCCTATTTTCTCCTCCTTGTTTCTTGTGATTGCCACATGTGTTCAGTATGGGAGGACCAGGTCATTTCCTTCATCCTCAGATAAAAGTTTCTTGTTCTAAAGCTTCCTCACTAGATTTCTGAGCTCTTCAGAATGCATTTGCTTTCTAGAGGCTTTGAAAACCTACTGTTATAACTTCCTTGGGAGATGTTTGTGTTTATTTTTGGGATGTGAAATTTATATAAAAAGAATTACATAGGCAGTAGAGCAATGGCAGAGCCTGGTGGTATTTATATCATGACATGGAGGTAGAGAAATTTTCTGGGGTTCGAAACTTGTCTTGGTCATTCTGTTTTAATATTTTGTTTAAACGAGTGAAAACTTTTAACTTTTAACACTCCCCCTCTTTTTTACTTCATGTAGGCTGCTAAGCTTGGGTTAGCATATTCTATTTTTCCTGAATTGTAGAGCAGTACACATGCATTATTTTTATCTGACAGCTAATATTCAGAGACTGCTTAATTCTGTAAAAAGAAAAACAACTACTGGAGATTTATCTTGTTTAACAACAAAAGTCTTAAATATTGA